TATATATATAATATATATCAACATGAGTTTTATCTGCTTTTATTTATTAAAGAAGATATATTATGGAAGTTTGTGTGAACAATTGGATCTTATATTATGAACATAAGAGTAACAATTAAATTTATTTATTGGGAAATAGATAAATTTTGTTATAGCTAGTGGAGTAATTTATCTTTTATTTGTTAAGTGACTACGCAATTTTAGTGCTTTTTGAAAGTAAAGGTCAATGATTGATTTGATTTAATAAATTCTATTCAGTAATTATATATATTTTACGAATTTCATTGATAAAATTTTATCTATCGGACATGAATAGTGGACATGAATGGCTATTTCTTACATACTTACTTTGTATTTATTTTTCTTTACTGAAAATAACGGATTGGCGGCCCTAGCGCAGTTTGAATAATTCAACTAGGTCATTAAACTTTAATCGTTTTCGATGCACACCTCTTTAAATCTCATGGAATCTCGATATGTCAATCACCTTCTGATTTATTCATTGTAGAAAGGTTAAAAAAGAAAGGCGTTTTATCGCCTGAAGTCAAAATGCCGTGATGCAAGATCTGGAATATATAAGAAGCCAAACTTCGAAGTCAATATGCAGCCTTAAAAAAGAGAGATACGATTGAACGTCGTCTCTAGTATTAAATCGCATAATTTTATTCTATTTCGAAATTTCGAAAGTCTAATTTGTATAGAGCGAAGTGTTAAGGGTTGCGAAACGCAACTTTCGGCCCGAGTGCCAAAAATAATCTAAGAAGTTTCGAAGGAAAAGAAAAAGAGAGCGGGAAGAATCCCTTAATTGCTTTTGGTACATTTGATGCAGTTTTTGCGGAAACGAGATTGTAGCCGCATTCGTTCGTTCTATCGATTGCTGTTTTAATTATAGATTTGAAACGAGTGCATGTAGTCATCAAAGATATACACGCAGCTGTTTGTATGTACATACATACATTCAGTAACTCGACTAAGGATTCTTTTATCTCATTCATTTACGTTAAACATGCACATGTTTAGGTCAAGGCTAATATTGACTATGATAATCGATAGAAATTAAGATTCTGGTGCATATCATCGATAGTCGATAGTTGTGCAAGTATAATACGTTTAAAAGTATAATAAAATAGAACATTTTTATTCGGGTAATTAAAATTTTATTTTAAATTCTTACTAACAGTGAATTTTTACAATTTCTAGTTTGAAATTATAAAAATTTACACAATATATTATTATCCACCAATATCTGCCAAATATGACCCTCTTCATTTATTTTTGATCAATGTTTTGCGATTCATTTTTACTTGATAATAATAATAATTATTATAATATATAAAATAAATTAAAGAAATTAATTTGAAAAATGAATAATTTGATTAAAACGATAGTTTTGCTAAAAATTCGAGAAAATTTAAGATTTAGAAAATAATTTTTTTTTTCCAGATAATACATACATATCTAAAAAATATCATATCAGACATAGACATTTTTTTGAGACACTCATAAAGGATATCTAAAAGATATCATAAAGAAATCTTTCAGAAAATAAATGTTATCTGAGATAATAGATGTTGTTTATACATTTCTGTTACATTATATCACAACCGTTACAATGAACTTTAATTTTATGAGTTTGAATAAAGTATTAGTAATAAAAAACATATCAAATACTATTTACATTTACTATATTTTTATTGTACAACTAAAGTACAACTAAGACTAAAGAAGATTACAAAAGCTACAGAAACACATGAAGGGTGCGATCTACTTGACGTTACAAATGTTTCGAAGCTTTTAATTGATTAATCGAAAAGAAGAATTTTATTAATTAACCAATCAAAAAATACTTTGAAGTAGCATTTATAGCATCAAGTGGACCATAGCCAAAGTCTTTAAACGCTGTTCGGTTGTCGAAGTTTCTCGTCAAGTCGTCGAATTTCTACCGGCATCGTTTCGTGAAGAAATTCGCCCCCGGCTGCTGTAAATGTAGTCCCCTCACGTAATATGTGATTGCTTGTCAGGACATTGACCAGTATTCGACTTTCTCGACACTGTAGTCGAAAAATGTAACGTGAACGAACTTTCGTGAGGCCCACATCGGAGAATCAGTCTCGCCCAACATCGGTGCCTGTAAACAAATAATTGCTATAGATAGATTATGATTCAATTACAGTACACGTGAAAATGTTACGTTATGTTTGCCGAACATTTTAATAACTGTAATCCACCGTAGTCACGATTATGGACATTTCATGATAATCGCTTTACCCATTATCTTCATCTATTGAATGAGATATTAAAAAGATATATCAACTTTGATTAATGATAAGAGGACATTGTATATCTGTCCGTCACCTTCACGCATTGTGACCGATTCAAGTACATTTCGTGATATTACTTTGTGTGAATTTTAAATCTTTTTGCGATAATAAAAGTAATAAAGATTTTGTAAACAAGTTTAAGTTCATTTACCCTGAATGTGTCAGAGAAAAAGAAAAAACTATTTTGCAGATAAGAGTAAATAATGGCATTATGTAAGCAATTTAAAATTATTGACATCAGTTTATAATTCATTGATTCTAGATCACACATGTTCTATATTCACGCATTTTTAACAGTTAAAATAATTTTAATGATTAATAGATGGATAAAAAAATATCTGTTAGTAATATAATTAGTTTTTAATTAATAAGTAATATAATTAATTTTTTTTTTATAAAAAAGAATAATCCTTTGCATGTCGTTTATTTAGCAAAAAATTCCCATATTTGTTAACAATCGTCATAAGTGAAAAATGACAAATTTAAGTTTCTTGCATACTATTTGTAGAGAGAGATTTTTGATAAAACAAAATAAGATTGCTTTAAAAGCCTCGTAAAAATGGGCCGTTCTTTATTTTCCTAATCTCTTCAAATAGTAAATAAGCATATTTTCACTTCACGTATTTTTTATGATTATTTACTAATTGTCAGGGGGGAGAGAGGAGGTAAAGATAGCTTCGGCTCATTTTACAAATGTTTCAATCATTATTTTATTAAAATTTTTTTTATAAATAACGTAAGAAACTTCAACGTGTTATTTTTCGCTTATGAAATCACGATCCAATATAATTGCAGCGATTAGCGCGGAGCCAGTTAATTAAAAATATTTTTTAATAAAATTAATGCTGAAATCTGTAAGAATATTCGCTCCTGAAATATTACGATAACATTAATTATTTGAATATTAACTTAAAGGGAACATAGCAAGGTGTGGGATTTTGAAATAAAATACCTTGATATTAATTTTATGAATATATTTTTACATATATATATAAATTAAAAAACACGATATAATTTTCTCTTTTATCATTTCACGCATTAATATGCGATTTCTTCACGCATTAATAAACGATTATTAAATTTTCAATTGATACAATAACGTACTGCTTAAATATTTATTTATAAATATATAAGCTATGTATTCTAATAAAGCGTATGCTATGTATATAAGATTGTATCAAAGAATTTTTACTGTCGATCGCTATTAACAATTCTGGCAGAATATTTACAGATTTCGAATTCCAATTGTTAACATCATTATCCATTCGCATTATTGTACATTTGTGAAGGAATGTTTTTAACAGTATATACGCTGCAACGTATTACAAAAATTGAGATAAAATACTGACACCAGTGATAATAAATGTACTGTTCCATAAAATAAAGAAAACCTATAAAATATAAGTGCTATCCCATATAAGAATGTCTATCCTATAAAATAAAAATAAATTATTGTGTCAACAATATTTGACTTGTTAAAAAGAAATTATCACATTGTTATTACCATCCTATCTTAGGAAAGAATTCTGCAACGTCCTGAAAGACCTCTTCCGGCGTTTTCATAGAATTAACTTTATAAACTAAACCTTGCTGCTCATACATTTCTATGATCGGTAAAGTATTTTTTAGATAAGTTTGATGACGCAGGACCAAAGATTGCTCATTGTCGTCGCTGCGCCCACTTCCACTGGCACCACGTTTCAGGCAACGCTGAGTACAAACTTCTTGACTGCATTCGCAGAATATTACGCCCTTGAGGATAACTTTGTCAGCCATCACCTGTCATCAACATATACCATACATGAAATAACTATAATATGCAAAGTCCAGTGCCTACAATCGAATAATTTATTAGAGAAGTATGTAGGTATAATTTTCAAGTAAATGGTAATGATAATACATACAATCGCATGTGCGTGCACATACATATGTGTGTAATATATATATATATATATATTTTTTAATTTAACTATCAACCAAATAAAAAAAGGATCATATAATATGATTGAGTCTACAGCTTTGGTACTAGATAATATTTATACTTAAATTTTAAATATATTTTCCAATTATTTAACTGTGTTTCAATTATTATATTATTAGATTTAACAGGCAAACCTAAACTAAAGCTGAAATAATATCACAATTGAATTGATTATCAATTTAATAATATCCAATGCTAATAAGCATCTTAGAACATTCCGAAAACTTTATTATGAAATTAATGATTATATTAATTATCAACTCTATCTCAATATGATTATTAAAGTTTTTAAATGATAAAGCTACTAAATTAAGATGATATGAAAAAATAATTTAGTGAAAAATTAAACTATTCTAAACACAATATCAGAATTAAATATTTATTTATACATTCTTTTATGAAAATATTGTATATATGAAAAGTATAATGTACATTCTACTACTGTAGGAATCCCGATAATAATTGATTGGCAATCGTATTTAACGTATATATTCAAAATGCACATCCAAGAGTGTGTTCCATTTCGTGTATGACACATATAACGTATCACTTTATCCTTCTTCAATATTCGTAACAACAAGAATAAAATAATTATGCGCATTATGCGTGAAATAAGGAGATACCTTATTCCAACCGTCAAGATTATCCTGATTCCTGGGAAAGCCGTCGATGAGAAACCGATGATGCGGATTCTCGGATGTCTGCATGGCGCGATCAATGAGGCTACAGGTGATCTCCACCGGGACGATCGTACCGTTTCTGATATGTGTTTCAATGAGCTCGCCATACTCTGAGCAGGGTTTGGCACGTTCCTCGCGCAGCAAATCACCAGCTGATAGATGAACGTAACCGTAACGCTCGACAATGTAACGGCAGAGCGTACCTTTGCCGGCACCCGGACCACCTAGGATAAACACCACTTCCGGCTTTTGCATCGTAACAGCGGACATCGTATGGATACAACGTCGCGCACCGGCCACGAGAGTCCGTAACATCTACAGAAAATCGCTATATATATGTATATACCAACGCACACACCGATCAATCCATTACTAATATCCATACACTACACGTAATGTAAAACGCGAAGGTTATACTGGCGCCATTTTTAAAAGGCGCTAAGAACAGGTGCATCCAGAACAATCTAGAAGCACAATCGCTCAATGCGCTCTCGGTGAGCTTTTGTACCTGTTTGGTATATATTTTTAGCTCCAATGGAATGTGCCAATTAAATGCAAAATTGAGCGCTCAGGGAACGGTCGTGTTTCTGGATGCACCTGTTCTGAAGAGCAGAAATCGGATACATCGGAATATACGGTTTCTGATTGGTTGAAATCGTTTATTCCTTAATCCGGATCTAGATGTTTTAAGCTTCAAGCCGTAAGAAATTGACCAATTGTAGTTGAATACGAAGAGAATAATTGATTTGTCCATTTCTTATGACTTATGGATTAAAAATCTATTGTAGCTCTGGTAGCTTATTTCTAATTTCTTATTCGTTCTATTGTGCGCAAAGCCTAACACGAATGACTAGGAAATGGCGAACCAATCAAAAGTGGCATCCTAATGACCAGTTTCTTTTAAAGGATCTCTTCAACATCACAGACTTCTCTGGGTTTAACATATTCTATGATTGTACTGTGATGGAAAGAAGTGAGAGATATATTTTTGTTAACTTCGTATAAATATCATTGTGAAAAGGAAATTAATGCAAACATGTCTATGGTATTTATAATTTAAATTTAAGTTGCATAATTGTAAATGTTATATTTCAATTATGTAATACTAAATCTGTTTACATCTTAATTCTTAACGTCCATATTCGATTTTAAGCTCCACAGTTCGTTATTGATATTTAATACAATTTTATGTTTTTAAAATTTTATTTAGTTAAATATCATAAATTTATTAGAAATAAAGACTTATTAAGAAATGCACGGAATATGATTACGATGTCACTAGTGTTAATGTATATTAATTTTATCTTCTTAATATATAATTTATTTATAGCGACCCGATGATCATCGAAGGAAATGGAATCGGGAAGAGTACGAAAGGATTGCACTTCAAAGACTTCAAGATGAGATTGCAGAAGAAGAATTAGGAATTCCCAAGCAGCCAACAGTTAAAAGGGAATTGTTGAAGCAAAGAGATTATAAGGTTGATCTCGAATCTAAACTAGGAAAAAGTGTTGTTATCAATAAAAATACGCCATCATCACAAACTGGAGGGTAAACTTTAACTTCCAATATATCTATCTTTTAAAAAGTATTAAATATACAATAATTGTTTTATTACATACACTGTAACTCATTAATTTCAATATACTTCCAGATTCGTTAATTTCTTTATAAAGGATGAATGTGATGTACATGAATGATCCGTCTATTATAAGTGCTTTTATCACTTGCATGCATTGTATTTAGATATTATTTATTTAAAAATCTTTGAAAACTGTAGTTTTCGAAAAAAGAATCTAACAGCCAAATAGTATTTAATCTTTTAAAATAAATAAAATATGTACAAGGTGCTTGTGGTGATATCAGATATATGCCTACTGCTGATTTGTCAATATGTATACTTGTGTGAGACAAAAGTTTGATGACTTCAAGGAAAACATAAAACATAAAAAGATATCATTGATTTGACCTTGGTTTCAAAGTTAAGACAAGAGGTCACTTTGAATTTTTTAAATAAAACTTTATTTTTCATTACATATTCTCATAGCTTATCTCAAGAATTAATTTTTTAAAACATAAAATTCCTTTTTATTAAGTACTTTTCGAATTGTAAGATTTAAAAGTTTAGCATTATCTAAGGTGTTTGATCAGCAGCTAAAACCTCTTGAAGGTTGTTCAAAATCATGACCTTGATAACATTTATCAAGTTCAAAGCCATATGAGGTTGTTCCTCTTATTTTTATTTTTGTTGAAATATGAATATATATATATATATACTTACAGAACAATATATAGTTTTCTTATATAATATATTGTCTAATTATTTATATACTGTTTATTAAAGTTGAATGTATATGTAATTATACAATATGTATATTTTATATTTTTATAATACATTTAATTTTGTGCACAAAATTTGTAATTGATCATAATTATAACATAAATCTCATATTTTTATCCACAGATACTACTGCAATGTTTGCGACTGTGTTGTCAAAGATTCAATCAATTTCTTGGACCATATCAATGGGACAAAACGTAAATTTAAATAATTCACAAATTATAATAAAATAAAAATATTTTCTCATTTTAATTATAATTTTTTATTTTTAATTAGATCAACGTAATCTTGGTATGTCCATGAAGATAGAGCGATCTACATTGGATCAGGTTAAAGCAAGATTTGCACAAAACAAAAAGAAACTCGAAGAAAAAAAGAAAGATTATGATTTGGAACAAAGAGTGAAGGAGCTGAAGGAAGAGGTTTGTTTAAGATTGTTCTTTAAATATTTTTTTTCCGCATGCGCGAAATTGTAATTGTGTAATTTTTTTACAAGATTATTTCTGTTATTAGGAAGAAAAAATCAAAGAATATAGAAAGGAAAAGCGAAAAGATAAGAAGAGGAAAATTGAGGAATTATCCGAGGATGATGCAGGACCTTCCGATGAAATGGCTGCGATTATGGGATTCTCTGGCTTTGGTTCGAAAAAAAAGTGACAAATTGCTGTTGTCGAACGTTCATGAATTATTTGAAGAAGAAAATATTCTTTGATGAAGATCGCGACCGAATCGTATAGATATGATGTGAAGAAAAGTGAACATAAATAGGTGACAAATAGTTTTAATTTTAAATATACTTAGAATTTAAGGAGACGATTTATGAATGCACGTTTGCAATAATTTTTCATTTTTCCATTATTGTTACAAGAGTTTCTTATTTATGTAAGATAAATAAGAAAATTATCAAATTATAAGTCTGACTAACTTCACTGAACGTGAGTGTAATAAATAATATAAACTCAAATTGTAATTAAGTAATTAAGTAATTTAATTGTAATTAAGTAATTAAGATTAATTAAAATTAATTATTTTGTACAAATTAAATTGGGTAATATAAATACTTTAAGTATATTTTGAAACAACTTTATATCTTTGACGATTTTATATCTTTCACTGTGAAAATGCTGAACTTCATACTCAACTAACTCTGAAAGAGTATGCGTATGTATAGAAATCAATTTTACGAATTAAAGAAAGTGCAAATAAAATTTAACATCGATATTTTCATTAATTACCTTATTTAAATCGTATTATATTATTTTAATGCTACAGAAAGCATTTATCAACGATAGATGCGATTGACCAGTTTCAATTGATTAAAGTCGATTAAAGTTAATCAGAGTTGGTCAAAGTATACTTAATATCAGATTGCGAGAGCAACATTTAGACAATGTTTCAATACTAAATTTAAGCAGGCAACAATCTTTTTTTTGTACTTTACTCTTATATTTTGACAGGTTTATTGTTGTTACTTATTACATTTATTTCGCAAATAATGGATTTGAAATTTGGATATTTTAATAGTAACATAAATTAATAATATATTCCTACGTTATTGTTAAGTACAATTTATCATTTCTATATATATATATTGTATCATAACTTAGTTTTTTTTAGAAAAACTGCAGAGTAACAAATATTTTTCTTTGGCAATTTTTTAGCAACAAAAAGATTAGTTAGATTTGATTTTGCTCACTTTGTTCCGTTAACTTGTGAAACATTCAAATTTATCGAGATACATCATATTAATCCAAGTATACATGCATCTATCTACGAATCAAATACTGAACGAACACTGAATGCTAAAGATTGTTATTTGTTACATAATTGTAGATTGTTGTTATTTGTTACATAAATGCCATACAAGTTCAATCGCAGTATGCAGCGAATTTTTAAAATACTTTTTTATACTTATTTCTAAATTTCTTTTGTTTCTTTTTGCTCTAAATTTTTCGTAGCACGTAGATGAAAAATTCTGATATATAAAGGGTGCTTCCCACTTAATTCGGAACGCTCGTGAGTATCGTTTCACCCTGGTTATTATCAAATATTATCAAACAAGGATGAAATAATGTATGCGAGCGTTGCGAACGTTAAGTGCAACGGAACGTAGCCATAGTATGCGCCCACGCTGTTGTCAGTCCCGCAAGAATTAGTAGCAGCGACAATCCGAATCCTGCAACACAAAAATAGTGAGTTTCTTTCACCTCTTTCTTGAATATATTTGATCCTTTCTTTTTTTCTTCTTTCTTGAGAGATCCTTTCGCTAGCAAGGATGGAGGGAGGAGATCTCCGCGACTCTCGTCTCCCACTTCGCGGAGGATCACAAGAGGATGTTCCACAGCGGGGTCCAAGCTGGAGCCGCTGGGGGCCGTGTGTTCCGGAGGCCGAAGCGACGCAGTACCGGTCGATGTGTAGCCGACGTAACTCTCACGCGGTCTTCTCTCTCACAGCTAGGCAAGCCGTCAACCCGTTATTCGAAAGTCCGCGGAAGCCGCGCGCAGTTGCGCGTGTCGGAGTCGCGCATAGTGCTTCAGTCGGTTGCACGTTGACTCGCGTGAAGTGACGCGACGTGACGTGCGAATCGTCGCGCACGTGCCACCGGAGGTGTCGTACGATCTATCCGTTTTTTGCGCGCCCGGCATTCTTACATTTGCCATAAATCGAATCTAAGACGTACATCCTCAGGAGAGACGAAAAGAAATCAGTGAAAAGTTTTTTTTTTTTTTGGAAAATAAAACAAATGTATTAATTGTTATTTTTTTTCCGAAGAAGAGAATATATTTGGAAGAAGTGAAGAAACAGAGAAAAATGCCTTATAGTGTTTAGCGAGGATATTTTTGGAGAAAAGCAGAAGTGATTGCAAAGTATGTTTCAGTATTAAAGATAAAAATCGAATTAATTTCTTGAAGAAAAAAACGAATTCTCTCTGATGAAGGCTCATTTCTATATTAAAAGAAAAAAAATTGGAATTAATTTCATAGAAGATATACTCGTAACAAACAATTTCTAAAGACTTCATCTAAAATAAAAGGAATATAAATTGATTGAAATAAATTACAATATTCAGAATAATTGTCTTCTCACGAAGTTTGGCATAAATACTTAAAAAAAAGAACTAATCAGATACACTACTTATATAAAAAAGAAGAAAGCGAAATTTTTAAACAAAGAAATTTAATTTATATATATGTGTGTATGTGTGTATTAAATATTATTTTTTCCCGTGAAATGAGATAATGTACTAAAATTTTACTTGTCTGAATTAGTATTTTAAATAACAAAAATTTTTTTGTTCAATTGAATCCAGTTGAATTCAACTGGATTCAACTCGATTCAATTGGATTAAAAAACTACATTTTCTATTCAAAATTTTAAATTAAAAAGTATTCACGAAGAAAAAAACCGATATTATTTTTAGATTGAAAAGTATAAAAATGTTTCCAATTCGGATGAATGAATAAAATGCATTCAGATTGAAAAAGATTCAGTTTAACGTTCGCGAATATATATTTCTGAAAATTTGAATCCATTTCAATCCATTTCAATTTATTCTCGTTTATTGAATTACGAGCCTCAATAAATTTTTTAAAGCAGCTTCTAAGTCAAATTTAGAATAATTATCTTCATTTCCTAATAATCATTATATATATTATTTTTACTAATAATTGAAAAAGAAACATTCACATCTCTCTATGAAAAAAAGATTGTAACATTGAAAAATTCTATTAATTATCGTTAATCATTATTTATACTATCGTGAATAAGTTCAAGTAATCCGAAGAAAGAAACATCAATCACTACGCCACCAGTGCTTGGATTTACTGCTACATCATCATCATTATCATCATCACCACAAAGGATCTCTCGCTTGTCTAATTATCATCAATTATATTAATCAGTGCCGGTTAATGTACGCGAAAAATGCGACACGCAGCCACGGCGAATCTGTCGAACTTGACACGGAACTCAATGGATTGATGGACGTCGATAGAGATTTTACAAGCGTCTCATCACGGTTCGCAAGCACCGTAGCGCGGCATTCATTTCGGCTTGAAGAGTAAGACGTCAAGAAATTAAGGCGATGTCGCGAACTCTGCAACCGATCGAGGAATCCAACCCCGGCAAGTCATCGGGTAAGACCTCATTTATTAATAGTTGATGAAACGATTTTTCAATTAATTTTCTTGAAATTACCGACCTTAACCCTTTGGTGCCATTCTCAGTATGATATACCCGAAGTTTTTTTACTTACTGTGATAGCGTATACTAAAATTTTTTTTTATTAATAAAGCTATTACACATTTGCTTGTTGCATATTTTTTGATGTTTGTTATATTTCTTAATATTTTGCTTTTTAATAAAAAAAAAAGTTTGTTACAATGTTCATTTTTCATACTTTCAGTACTTTCCAAATTGATGTTAATGACATTATTTTGATATCAAAATTACAAATAACGTCAGCTTGTTTGCTGCGCTTTGTCGTAAATACTTTACAAAACATAATTTCCTTAGGAAAATTTACTTTAAGTGAAGTGAAGGTTTTTAAAGATATTAAGGGAAAATTTTTAAGTTTCTTCAGCTTTTTTTAGATTTTCCTAGTAAGTTTTAGGATTACTTTTAAAAACAATTAAAAATGTTCAAATTTACTCTTTATATTTCTTAGCTTTTTTCTTAAATTTTTTCTATATCATATTTTGAGTTTTTTTTTTAAGTTTTCTAAGATAAAATATTCCCAAGGATTATATCTTTTAAAAAATTCAATAAATGTTAATAAAGCAAAGATTAAATAAAATAAAGATTAAATCTTTTATAGGCTCTCTTATTAAAGAAAAAAATCATATTAAATTTCTTTCTAAAATACAAAAAACGTTAATAAGTTCTTAAAATCAGATTTACATATAAAACTCGTTTACTCTAAATAAGAAATTAAAAGTAACGATAAAATTAATATTGATGAAAATAAAAAAATCTGAATTTCTTAAAAAATTAAAAATATTTTTACTTTTCTTTCGCGAAATGATTTTAATGATGTATAGAAATCTTTACAACTCTTTTCATTCTTTAAATATATAACATCTACAGAATGTTCTGATAAAAAAAAATACGTCAAGTTTTCTTATTTTAATTCTACAACACAGCCGCGCTTTCCCTTTTCTTTTCTACGGAAGTGAAAAGGATCGGACACGCACCGTGTTGTTATCTGTTACACGGTGCCTGCCCACGGCTCTTATTTCCAACTCTTGTTTTCGAAACAGCCCGCGATCACTCGTGCGTAATTGAATGGATCACCTAAGTGGATCCGACGAAACAGGCTGCGAACGTTGAGCAAAAATTTCCGTTTCTCGACACTTCGGTCGAAGTTTTGAAAAGCTAACTTGAAACAGAAGCGGAAATTGACATTTATATATCGAGCGAAACTTCATCGTAAAACTGTCTTATTGATTAGGTTTGGATTTCAATGGCTTTATTATTATATTTTTTCATAAAAATTCTAGTGCATAAATTCTAGTACTTGAAATCGAATCTCACATACAAGACACAGACTACTTTGTATGAATCTAAGGCACTGCGCATAATATAGGAAATATTAGAAATAGAAATAAATATTAAGATTTCAATCTGTCAATTCAAAAACTGTATATTCCAGTATAACTGGTTCCTGATAGATTGAAATCTTAATACTTATTCCTGTTCTTAATATTTCTTCCATTGGGCTCTGCTTCCATTGTTATAAAAAAATATCAAATGAAATGTGAAATTATTTATGCATACATAATAAAAGAAATGATAGTCTTCCATAATTATGTGACTTATTAATTATTATGTAATGCATTATGTATTATAATAATTAATTATGTATTATTACTATTATTAATTGTAATTTTAAATGCAAAAATCGCGGACATTATTTTATCGTAAATTAATAAAATTGTTATGAACATTGCAAGTTTAACGATCATGCGTTATGATGTTTATAATTTTTTGTTCGAGTCAAAAAATTGATTTTTTATTGCTGCACTGGACTTGACTGCATCAGAACTTTCTTCACTTAAATGGATCATTTCCAACACAAATGCAAAATGTTTTATACCGTGTAACGTATTCATTTTTAAATAACAGAAAAATTTTGATGGACCATTTGAGTAAAATGTATTAACATAAGTTTTCCAACTGTGTGTATTGGCGGAATTGAAAAGAATCTCAAGATCAGAAACCGATATTGGAATTTGCAGTCAATTATAAGTATAATTATTTGCATTTAAAATTTTGATTAGTCGTCTGCGAAACTTGCACTATGACCATCGTAACTACAATTGCTTGAAATTTCGATTGCGTTGCAGTGTAACGTGGTAATTAAATCGAGCAATATTCCGAAAAGCTATAATTCGTTATGGCGATTAATTATTAATTATCAAATTAATAATTAATAATTAATTATTAAACATCCTCTCGGCAGAATGCAACACTCGCTGCCAGTTATTAGTTACGAATTGCGAACTACTTTCACAATTAATATCTCTGTACGTTCGCACATGGCCAAGTATTCTGCTATAACAGATGGAACGTGAAAACTAACGGCTGTCGGAAAGATGGAAAAAATGAATGATCCATTTGCGTCAATTATTCGCTGTTATATGTCAAAGTGTTCTAATTCCTTAACGATAGACTTTTCTCTCTATGTTGCGTGAGAATATAAAAAATTATATTGCTAATAAGTCACTCTTATTCCAAAAATAAAATTGAATAGAGAAGTTTATTTGTAAGACAATAGTAAATAATTTAAATTAAATAATTAATTTACAAGGTTCCTAATTTTAACACTTGAATAGTGATTTTTATGTATATTTTTAGCTACTGAAAATGAATATATAAAATTACGTCACAAATTTTGAAAAATCAAGGATTCTATTTTTTTAAAAACTATACAAATAGAAACAATATACAATTTTTTTCTTTTACTTTAGAATAAAAATACATAAAAATCACTATTTTATAAATACTTTAAATTTATAATAAATAATTAGGATCGTAGCTTTACAGAAAATAATTTTTTTAATTTATAATAAAAAGACTATTAGGCTCGTAGTTCTTTATTTATTTATAAGATTTTTATTTAATTGAGCCTTGTATTACGGTTGAAGAGAAATTTATTTTTTTATAAACAAATATAGAACAAAAATAAATTAGAATATTAAAAATACGAAACGTTTGCAAGCATTTTACGTAATATTAATGAATGAAAAAGCTCTCTAAAAGATATTGATTTTGCAACGTATATTTTAAAAAGTGAGACATCTCACTTACATGCTTAATGCATATCTTACCTCGCATAATTATACTGGGAAGACGTGCCCAATTACATGGTTGTTCTACCAGTATGAGAAGATAAAATGATACGCTATTTGTTGCAAATGAGAATCTCGCCGACGATAATTATATAGGAACTTTCAATTACTCGAACTGCTATAAGCTTCGCAAAATAAAATTTCTTCAGTTGAACTAACCAGAATAATCTAATAAAGCGTTGTAAAAATTCCGTTCTAAAAAGTCCGACTTCTCAGACATTTTTACACTTTAGATTATATTTAAAAAACATTTTAAATAAACAAAATTATTATAATTAGGAGATTGCGTTATGTTTTATTCATTTAATATCGAGTTGATTTATTTTTAAAAATCGGATTTCTTCTCTATAATGTAAAATCGAAAGAAAGGGTTTATTTTCACATCATGAAATAAAATAAAATTTTTTTTATATTATAATAATTTCATGTCACTTTTCAGTAATTTAAATTGTTAATAATAGATACATAAAACTCAATCTTCAATAATTCACAAAAACTTGATTTGAAAGAATTTAAAGACCGTTTAGTTAATAATAAGTTTAATTAATGATTAGCCAGTAATTCGAAGTATTTTTATAAGAAGCTATCATTATTCTATAAAAAAAAAAAAAAAAAAACAGACGCATTCTATTACGATGGAAAAATATCGGAATTGTTGCGAAAGTAATCCTGTATCTCCGCGAGGGTCCAACTTCTCATGGGTCCGTAAACGATGCCTAATCTCGAGTTCTCATCCACGAACATCGCTTCCCTCTTCACAGTCTGTATAAAAACGTAAAAGACGTCTGCTTTGCCGTTTTCCGTGGTGTAATTAATCCGGACTTTGTTGGCCCTGTAGCCACCCTCCACGACGTTCACGTGACCTTGCCCATGGACGGACGCGGCGATCACGCACTGGATGAGCTTGCCCGGTCGAGCTTTATAGTACATCTCTGCTCTACTGTTCACCGGGAAGTACGACTCGTGGCTCTCCAGCTGGATAACTCGAGACATCACTTCATCCTCGGTAAACTTGTCGCCCTGCATCAGCCACGTAGCTCTACGGAAAGAAGCTCGCGTCTGCGAAGTTCTGGAAAGCGCGCAGGCTGACGACAATTGCAGTCGAGTTTTACAAAAGCCGTTATGAGGCAAGAAATTTCCTTTCTTCGGAGTGAGAAGATATTGGAGAGAATTTTGCGTCATCTAATTCCAACGTTAAATCACGAACTATGGGGTGGATCGAAAGATTTCGAAAGAACTCTGACCAAATGAAAAATGGAGATTACTTTCTTTATCGCGCTTGTTGGAGTGAGTAGAAGCTATGATAGGAGTATATTGGAACATGTCGAACTATGCGACGCGAACAAACCTTTTGATGCATGAATAACCATCGTAGCCTTCTTCTGACAAATCAGTCATGAAATATTTTTAATATTTAAATATGAAACATAATTTTTTCTATAAATATAAAATATATTTCTTTTTTTCTTTCTTCGAAAAAATCTGATTAACTTCAAAAAATATCACCACAAAATCATATTGCAATGTAAAATATATGTTGTACAAAGGATAATTCCAATGAGACTTAAATTTTCTTAAAAGTTTACGTCGATAGCCACGAAATCTCTTTAGCTTTCAGCGTTAGTAGAAAAATAACATTTTTTTCTTGAAATAAGTGTACTCACGGTTCGCTTAGTGCAGGATTAGAAATGTAACAGAAGATTAGAAGATAAATGCGCGTCATCGTTAGTAATTGCTGATATGCGAAAAGAGATCCTAGAGTTTTAGCAGCCAATTGATATTAACTTGCTGATGTGGATTGCCTGCTCAATGTTGTGACACTGTTCAGTGTTTTTGGCCTGATATCATTATCGTGCGCGCGATGATCGTCTTTGTGAGCTAGACAGTAGTGGAACGTGCACTAAAATTAACGAAGAGGGCACGATAATAGACTCTGATGTGGGCTTGATGATCCCTCCTCTTCGTTTTCTATTGCGCGTCATTTACGAGATAGTACCACTTGGATTAGATTCTTTATTTAATTTAGTACGGGAATTAACTTGGTGCCAGTGGTTGATATCAAATCTTTTATATATAAACGATATCATTTAGAGTTAAGTAAATAATAAAAGTAGTATCATTTGAGTTTTATTTTTTATTTAGTACAATAAAAATAGTATTACTTGGGTTTTATAATTCGGGTACAAATTTTTTTTTCAAGGAGTAACTCTTCTTTTACCTCTTCTTAAAATGGTAATTTTTTTTTCTATATATCAATTTAGTCACCTCATTATTCTGTACATATTAAGGTACAATTCTTGTTAAATGGGTGAACTTGAATTTCATGAACTTGATCACGAACCTGATCACGAACGAGAACTACATCCATCCCATCGACCTCCGACCACCACGGCGATGGTATTGCGGTATTGTTCTTCTTTAAAACTAAAGTGACTGAGTGCCATTTGCCTTTTGCGTGCGAACCGGTGCATTCGTTGTTCTCAGCTTCTAATAGCAAGTATTTGAAACATTAACAAACAAAAAACTAAAGATAGTGATTTTCATAACTAAAGTTTATCATCATGTACATTGGTGTATGACGTGTTGTAAGTTGAGAAAATTTGTGACTTGATCAATTAATCAATTTCATATTCATATAAATTAAAGGTAAGCAATGTGATCTTCAGGATTAAAACTCGAAAAAAGATCTACGACACTTTTATACTTTAATTTCAAGCACAATAGAAGAAATTAAAGAAATTAGTTTTCGAAAGTAAAGAGAAACATGATCTTTATAATTAAAAATTTATTTATCTAATAATTTTATTGTATAATTATGACTATGTTTGCCGAAGGAAACGCGCAATCGGCGCTTTTGTATCATTTTATCTTCATTTGAATCAAAGATAAAATGATACAATAACGCAGTCAATATTGTAAGATTGGAAGCTGGAAGATCGTACCCTAAATTGAAAATGGAAGAAGAAAGATTGTAATTCTAGCATAATTTATGATAAATTAATTTTATACACTTTCTCGAATTTTTCGTATAAATCTTAAATGAGTAATGGTTTTTTTGAGTTTAATTTTTCCAAGAAACCGCAAATTTCTTCAAAGTGCGCTTGTAGCATTCGTTAAGCATCAAGAATTCATCACACGAAAACGTTTCGTTTTACGCGACGCAAATTAATCTCGGTGATTATCAATCTTGTGTCACTTTTAATACGGTACTCCGATCTCGAATCGTCGAATCGTCGGTCACGATCGATGAATGCGTGACATCCGGTGCGACCCGTCGAACACGAAGAATTCGTCAGTATGGTGGCCGAGCTAGCTAGCATTTCTACGGCGACGATCGACGGAAAATCATCGGACCTTGGTAGCACCTCGAAACATCACAAACGACCCAAATGGATTCAAACGGCGACGCGTGAGTCGATCTATAGCGTTCTGGATGGTAACGACAATATCACAACGAAAAGTTTTCCTCCGAATATCCACGGCAAGATCGTACTGATCAGCGCAGTGAAGGATGAATCAAACCGGAATCTAAAAGACGAGCAACCAGAATTACCATACGTCAGGTTATCATCTCAAAATAAAGCGTCATCGATTCTTGAGGTCGAGGATGAGAACACTCTTTACAGCGTGGTAAGAAAACCGAAGAAAGTGCGGTTGCTAGAAACTCCCTCCGAAGCGAAGGAGGAGGTGATTCGATCGATAGATAAGATTCGCGACATCGATCCCAACGAGCAGCAGCAACTGGACCATAAAGACGTGTCCAGGCGAGTCGAAGTGAGAAAGTGGCTCTACGACACGCCTAAACAGTCCTTTTCGAATTCATTGGAAATGTATTTCGATCATTCAGGGTACGAGAATACCTGGCCTGATCAGGAGACCTTGGTAGCATTGCCTCGAGGAGTGGTAGGTCTTGTAGGTCCCTATAGGATATATAGAAACCCTAATGAGACGAGAGAATATATGCTGCAAGAGGAGGAACTTGTTGAAGAGGTAATGAGTTCTGCCAGTAAAAAAGTACAAGAAGAAGAAAACAAGGATGAGCATCGTCAGAGGGCGAAATGGAAAATCAGGGAGGATGACGAGGAGACCTTAGTATCGGATATCCGAAACCTGTCCGGTTTCGTGGAAACGAAGACGGATCTCGCCAAGATGGAGAATAATGATTGGAAGAACGAACGAGAATCAGTAACGAAAGTGAATAAATCGGATTGTGTCGAAGGGATTCTGTTTGGTAAAGAAGAATGCGCGGTGGATGTACCAGATACGGTATCTGCGATCTCGACAACGTCGACGAAGGAGAAATGGGGTGAGAAAATCTTTTACAAATCTCGCGAGATTCATTTGTGAATTTTAATAATTCTATGATTATTGAATTATTCATTATTAAGCAATTAGAATAGAAATGCTAATAAATAATATTAATTAAAATAATACAAATAAGTGAAGAAGGCTACATTAAAAAAAAACGGAGTGTAGTACTTAAAAAGATAAATTAAAATATGTAAAATTTCCTAGCTCGAGATTGTCAAACAAAAAACCAATAAATAAAAAGATCAAAAACACGAGTCAACAATATAAAACATACTAAATGTACACATCGATTGTAACTTTTTTTTTTTAGTACTTTTGTTATTGTGAATTATTATTGTTATTGTGGATTCTGAGTCATCTATTAAAATCTGTTGTATCGTGGGAATAAATACATAAATACATAAAAAGATAAGTGAATTGACAGTTGCTTTCTTCTTTTCTATCGCAGCTCTTGCTTATTTGTAAATTATAATCAGGTTTAAAACGCGCTGCGAAACTACAAAGTGATCAACTAGACGATAACGGTGTGTAATTCGGCAAAGTAGGTATGTCGTCCACATTCGATATGCAAGGCAACACGTATCTTACGGTATTGTCCGACAAAATGGACTCGAGTAGCGGTAGATAGTACCAGGTATGCATACACATCGGCCTCTTGATACGTGCGGTTCAGTTAAAATGAGCGGTGACTTTGTGAACCAACGATTAGGTCAACATTCGATTAGAACTGCATTTCTATACACTTGCTTGTCTATCCTGCCTGCCTTATTCGAACAACGGTGAATTGTCTTGCTCGAGTCTAAAATTAGATTCTACGGGATGAGAGACCTCGAACCTTCAGCAGTTCAAAAGAAGATAAACAGGATAGCAATGTTCTGTTTCAGACAGCAGTAGCGTGCTGAAGATATTATTAAGTTTCAACGATTCTTCTTTTTTAGAGAAATCTTTTTGTGAACTTTTTAATTAAAAAAACTAATTCTCTGTGTACACTTTAATTTTTTTAATTACTCATTTGAAATATTAGATATGGGAAAATATGGAAGATTAAAAAACTTATAACTAGAAATATATTAGGTGTTGGAATTAATTCGTAGCGTTTTACAAGTGATGGGAAGTACTTTCATTAATGTATTTTTTAATGCTCATGTGAAATAAATAACATTCTTTCATTAAAAACGCTACGAATTAATTCCAACACCTAATATAACTCGAAATTTTCGTATACTTTTCCTCTCACACTTCGAAGGATTATGGCTGAGTCATTCTTGACTCTATAATTCAAAAGTTTTACATTGCTCCGCATATGAATGTAGCACAGCAGTAAAAAAGCAGCAGTTTTCGAGTTTTAGATCTTCTACACTCTTACGATGTAAAGCATTCGGAATATTGTTTGTTTTTCTTTTTGTAAAAGTTCACATATTAAATCATTATTAAATTTAGTCTCCACAATGACGTTAAAAAATTAATTAATGATTGATTTTTGTATTCTCCAAGTATTTCATCGTTCAAGAGTTAACATGAGTATTCACACGCAGCTTTCTAGTCAAGTTGCACAGTTTGTTCTTGCTTTCTTTCGAAAGACCTCTCATTAAATGGTTCGATATAATGCACTCTTCGGCACAGCCGCCATAAAACAACTACAGTAGCATATATCACATGAATCGCGAGCCACCACTCACGACTTTCACCATTTTTACGATTTTTACACACCTTTTACCATTCAGTACGATGGGCAATTTTACAATCAATGTCATCGGGCTTTCATTATTGCGGCTCTTAATCTTATTCGCACCTGTCTCGCTGTTTGTTTCCTGTAAGTTGGTCGAGACTTTTTCTTCATGCGAACGCTCGCATTATATCTCCTTGGAGCGACGCATTGCTTTCGAGCGAATGTAGATTTGCATCGAGGAAATTAGAAAGCACGCATAGCAAGCGTACATAAGTTATTCCATCGGAATTAACGGGAATACGAAATACGTGACATAACAACTCCTTGGCTCCATTGTCTTCTCACGGATCTCTGTAATTCTTCAACGACTCCAGAGGCGTAAAAATCGAGCGCGAGCAGGAGAAGAGATCTATTATCCTTGCACATAACTTTTGAGGTCATTCCACTGTGCCATGAATCGTTTTCTCCTCCGTGTGTCGCAGAGAGAAAACTTCATTTTGATAACATACGATCGATGCGAGCATGAAAAGTGGAGGACTGAGATAATTTTGAATAATGTGCAATATAATCTTACGTAATAATTTAGAAAGAATTGGACTCCATAAAAATTCTTGCATTCGGCATTCTGTAAGTTCATTTGCAATAGTGATATAAAAAGCAGGAATATATCAAACGATAATAAATATTTTATTCGATTAAAATTTTTAATTGGAAACCAGCACAAATCTTTGCCGACAACTAAATACAAAATAATATAAAGTTTAACGCGAATCCTCGTATTATTTTCCGCGAAAATATTAATGATACTTTAAAAATAAAAATACACGATTACGTAATTATAAGTCATAGACCACTCTGCAGATTAGAAATAATTATTAGAAATAATTAATTAGATACCTATCAAGTGCTCGACCGCTCATTAATTAACATACTTGAGTTTATACTGCAATCCTTTCACTAGCGGAAAGTCGAT